CTGCTGAGCGAGTATGATTTACATATTGATTCCTTCACTTTCTTGATTGCCCTTTTGCAGTGAAATAGTGGGTAGGGAATGGTGGGGAGCAGAGGTGTGAAAGGAGGGAATATTGTGTCCTATGAGAAACTCCGTGTTGGTAAAGCAAGTTTCCTAAGCTTTGCCCTTGGGCAGCGTGTGCCGTGCCGGGAAGGTCCCAACACACAGCAGGACAAAGGGTTCCTCGCCAGGACTTGGGGCAGAAGCTGGCAGGAGAGGCAGCTGCAGGTCAGCTTCGCGGAGTCCCTGGGGCTGTAGTTAAAGATTTCCCTTTCCTTTCTTCCCCAGCTTGTCCGCTACAGCTCGGAAGGTGTCCTGCAGCTGGGGCCGCTGGGCTCCACGGCCTTTCTGCCCGACTCCAAATGCCTCGTCGACGACGGGAAGGGCAGGACACCGACTCTGAAGAAGTGCGAAGACGTCCTGAGGCCAGCACAGAGGTTCTGGGATTTCACACAGGTATGGAAGAGCTCAGGGAGCCTTGCCTTGTAGAGATAAATTGGAGAGGAATGCTTATCTAGAGGATGTTTGATGAAAAACAGGGTGGTCTTTAGAGGACTATTCTAGGAATCCCCCCTTATGCCTTCTAGAAATAGTCAGCTATGTTTTCCATAGGTCGCGTGCTATCCAGGAATTTTCATATATTGTTACTAGGAATTTCGGGGTATGCTTTCTAGGAATCTTTACTTTTCCTTTCTTGGAATATTCTCAATTTCTGTGGTGGTTGCCAAGAACGTATTTGTTTGTTGGGTTTTTTTTGAGTGCCTAGGAATTTTTGTTTCTAGAACTTCTAGGGTTTTTCTAGGAATTTTTACATCTGGGGCTTTCAACTAATTTTTAGGACTTTAGAAAGCATTCTTACAGCTTCTGGGATTTCCTATATCTTGGGGTCTGTAAGGATTTTCTAGTGATTTCTGGGGAATTTTCTAGCCATTCCTAAACGCAGAATTATCAAGGAACTGTTTTGGCACTTTGTATGGATTATTTAGCTTCTCCTAGGAATTTCTAACACTTTCTAGGGACTTTCATCACTTGATATATACAGAACTTCACAGGTATTTTATAGTGTTTTCTAGGGATTTACAGATCCAGAATTATTTTTCTTCTAGTCTTTTTACTTTTTCTATTCCTTCTTCTAATCCTTCCTTTTTTTTTCTTTCTTTTTTTTTTTTTTTCCTTAGAATGGTCCAATCATCAGCAGAGACACTGGCCGTTGTCTAGAAGTGGAAATGTCAAAGGATGCAAATTTTGGGCTCAGATTGGTCGTACAAAGGTGCTCGGGGCAAAAATGGATGATTAGAAACTGGAAAAAACTTGCCCGACACTGCCTGCTGGGGCTGGAAAGCTGCCTCTCCTGCTGTTGTCCATTGCTCAGTGTGCCATATCTTGCAAGGCATTTGTCTTAAAGCGAATTAGTTTGACCATTTTTTTTTTTTTTTTTTTTTTTTTTCCTTAGAATGGTCCAATCATCAGCAGAGACACTGGCCGTTGTCTAGAAGTGGAAATGTCAAAGGATGCAAATTTTGGGCTCAGATTGGTCGTACAAAGGTGCTCGGGGCAAAAATGGATGATTAGAAACTGGATAAAACATGGCCGACACTGACTGCTGGGGCTGGAAAGCTGCCTCTCCTGCCGTTGTCCATTGCTCAGTGTGCCATATCTTGCAAGGCATTTGTCTTAAAGCGAATTAGTTTGACCAGGACTTGGCTCTCGAGCGTCCTCCACAGTTGGGCATTCAAAGGAGAAAAGAAGAAAATGAAAAGCAGAGGCATACATGCCCCTTTTTGACTCCTCCTCGCTCCAGTAGATGACCTGAGAAGCTTAACAAGAGTTTTCTGTTGATCTGGAAGATCAGAACGTGACAGAAAAGTGGGTTCCTTAAGCTCTCCTAGAGGAATTAATAGACGGATGTTTCTATGATGAGTTGAAAGGAGAGATCTCAATACTGCCTCATAACGACAGTTCTCTGATGGGTAGCTTTTTAGCTTTAAGTTATTGACTGGTGCACAACTCCTATGGTGAATAATCATGTGCCTTTTTTATTGTACTTCATATAAAAGGGGACTGGAAAAATCCTACCTTTTCAGCATGTCTGGTTCATTGTACTAAACAAGATCTGTAAATAACACTGGAAATATAATATAATATATGATAAATTTCAAGGTTGATTGTGTAGGAGTCTCTGTTTCTAGAAAGAGACTGTTCTGCAAATGTTTACAGGTGGTTCTCAACCTTCAAGCTGCTAAAAAGCAGCATTTTAGAGACCTCTTCTAGTTAGACACAGGTAAATGTTGAATAGGTAAAATAGCCACATGCTCCATTATATTGCCACATTTTACATTTCTTGGCTGTAAAGGCATCACAGTATAGCACTTGCATATCGAACTCTTTCGAGGCAGTAAATGTCCTAGTAGATGGATGAGGTTCTAGAGGTCTCAGTTGGCCCACAAGCCCCAAGTACGTAAGTGCAAGGCTCCCGTCCTGCAGTGCTGCGTGTGCAGGCACGCTGTTGGGTTGTTCCCAAAACTGCCTGGAAATTGGATACTCATTACTTCTGAAACTAAGGTGACCGAGTTAGGTGCCATCTCTGGAATTTAACAGCTCGAATCCTCCATTTTGTTACCCATTCTGTGAAAATGTCAAATGTGAGCAAACACGCTTTGTGAGCACTGTCTGGACAAATTTCCTGAACAAACCAACAAAGTCTTTTCAGTATTGGAAAAACAAACAAAAACCTAGTTATAAGAGGGCAAATTAGAGCAAGAAAGAACTAGGCGGCATATAGAAGTACTGTTACTCTGAAATACAAATATTTCACTCTAGTTGACCTGTTGACAGCATCTTTGTGGACCTGAATTTAATAATGTATCCGGTGGTTGGTGCAGTACCCGTGCCCAGGGAGCCAGAGCAATGACAAGGCTCTATCCAAAAGGCTGTCAGAGTTGATGGCCACTGTCAAGGTCAGCAGGCTTCGGATGTGGGTCCATGGCAGAAAATTTTCATTACAGAAGATTCAGTCATGCCGAAGGAGAGACACAGATGGTACTGTTAACTTCACTGTTTAATATTTTACAGTAATTTTTTAAAAAAAGTTTTGTTTTACTGAGCCAGGGAAATAGGTAATTGCAGACACTGCGGCACCATGAATCTTGGTGATCTGTTTCTTGAAGAGCTTTTGCCATTCCTATTTCAAGGCATGCTGAACAAAATAAAATGGAAACACAGTTAATTTTTCAAGGGCATGATATGTAATAAAATATTTACTTTTAACATGCAAAATCCATCAGTTCTTGTCAAATCTTGGTTGGTATCCAGAGAGCATATCACTTTATTTTGCTCCAATTTTATTTTGAAACCGAGTGTGCAAGATGTGTTATACAAAGCAAATTCTCCTGGAGTTTATTTGTGGCTCATAGCTGATCTTTATTTACGTCACGTGGATCAGGTTATGCATGAATATATACAAGAGAATAATTGTGGGCGAGATTCTAAATATTAAAATGCTAAAAATTCCGTGTTTATGGTTAGCTGAACACGACCTCTTGAACGGTGTAATAAGACCTGCAGGGAGAGGCGGCATCTTTAATAAAGCAAGCAATATGGTAAAAAATCTTGAACAAGCTCAGTATTCAGTTCCTTCCTGCAGGTCTTAAACAGGTAGGAAGCTTCAGGCTAAATATAGATTGGGAGCAGTTGCCCTGCATTTAACCTCCTTATGTTAACCTGTTAGGCAATTTAAAAGGATAGTTACCATCTATGGAGCAGGTGTTGAACGCTTTGTACAGGAGTTCTATTTGTAAGTGACTTTTCATCTTCTCTCCAGATGCAATTTAAAGGGAAGAAATTGTATCAAAGCTGTATTCTTCTTTTGTTTACCCTGCTGGAGTTTTACTCCATGTAATATTTGGCCGAGGGAGGAGAGAAGGTGAAAGAAGGGAAAGACAGTTTTACCAGGTGAGCTTTTTGGGGAGTAAAGTCACAGGTCATTCACACCATTTGTAGTCTTTCCAATTAATAAGTGTATTTTATACGAAGTTGGCTGGAAGTTGAAAGTAATTATATATCAGCGTGACTACTAAATGCCTAACTGCTAAGAGTATGGAGTTCCTGTACTCAACAGACGCTAATATGCCACATGCTGCTTTTTTGCCCTGGTTTGGTTTTTTTTTCCCCCTTTGTCTTGAATTGCCAACCTACGCTTAACTTGGTGAGCAATGGGGCAGCAAGCCTGTCACGGCCTGGGTAAATGAAAAAGGAAGGCTGAATATATAGAGGAATACCAGGTTTTAAATTTCCTGTCCTAAAAGGAATGTTGCATTTGCGGTTTAGGAGCTTTGCAGCTGAGAAGACCAGGTAGATGTGTGTTTCCTGGCAAAGATTCCAAGCAAGCAGGACAGCCCTTCGCTATGACACCACCATAACAAATGTGAATTGGTTGTGCTCAGAATTTGGCTGTTGCAGGTTTTCCGTGCCCCGTGTGAGGCACTGGAACGTGGCCACACCATCTGACTGAGAGGGGTCGCTCCTGGCAAGCTTTGAGCACCAAGACCAGAGGCTGCAAGAAGCAGTCTTTCAGTATAAGAAAGCAAGCAGATTTTTGTGACAGTTAAACGGCTCTGAGATGTATGGAATTGTGTAAAAGAATCCAAATAACTCTTAAAGGTGGAGTTGGTATTTTCTGTAATTGTCTTTTTTTTTTAAGATTTACTTAAACAACTTCTTACATCTGAAAAATACATCTGTTGGATTATTTTTACATTAGTCTTTATCTGTCTGAACCACTGCTTTGGCTGTGGTATTAACATAGTGACTCTGCATGTGAGAGGGGATCTCAAATAATCTCTCATAAAAGGAATAATAATTTAAAAAGTCTTGAGTATTATCTGTTTTAACCAAAGTCTATGGGTCTCTTATCAGTATTTCATGCCTTAGTATAATCTGAAGTCCTGCTTAATGTTGTTTCAAATTTTGTCTCGTTTCCCACAGTGCAGCAGTCCAGATATTATGAAAAGTATTTAATATAGTGTGATATGTCGTGTAGAGAAAATTCAGATCAGAATCTTCAATTGCTATTTTGCTTGATTTAGGAGATTATGGAGTTAAATACTAGGTCCCAGAACAGAAGAATAGAAAGTGAGAAGGAACATCAAGTCTAGTACACTGCTGTCAAAGGCAAACTAGTAAAAAAAAGCATGTCAAGATCCCTAAAAATTAGTTTGAGTCCTGTGGGGAAAAAAAAGCCCTATCTCCTTTGAGAGCTATAAACTATTTTCCAAGCTGAATTTATTCTTGGTTTGATTAAAGCCATTTGTTCCTCAGCCAAAATTGTCCCCTAGCTTTATTGGCTTACTGGTTCCTGAGGCACGCTAACCTCTAGTGGAAAGCAACTCAAGAGCTAAAAAAGGTGTTGTTGAATGACCCAATGGATTCCACTGCAATTACATCAAGATTTATATTGTTCTTATCCTGAGAACTCTTAAGGACTGTTCTACAACCAAAAACCTAAACTCTGGTTCCATAGAAGTGATCTAAGACAAAAATATGGAAACAAACAACAGTTCTTCATACATATTCTCAAAGTGCTGAATTAGCTATCTCATTTCAATGAATGTTTTGGGGGTTTCTGTGTCAGAAGATCAGGCCTTCACATTCCTTTGGAAATTGTTTACGTTTCCTTTCATCAGCCTACTCCTTTTTAAAAACTCCGGTCTAGTAGATGAAAACCTCACTTGCCGTGTGACAAGGGGTGTAATCTATCTGACATAGGACAGCTGAAATTTTAAGTACTTAAGCCAGAGCTAATAAGATTTAATGAAATAGCACCAGTCCTAATCTGTTCTTTAGATCAATTACACAGCATGTAATTCCTTCAGTATCCAGTATTCATTTGAAATGGTTCATTAACAGCCATACTGAAGTACATTATGGCCTGTTTTGGGACCCAATGAGTTGGGTTGTAAGAAGAATTTTAATAGGAACTGGAGTTCAGAGGGAGTTTGGCATATTATAATTCAGTTAGGACACAAATACCTTTGTTTTTTTCATGAAAGGCTTTGCGAAGAAGAACAACTGTCGGAATTTGCTTAACTGAAAATGTTTTGAGCAGTAGTGTTCCATTTTTGACTGCTGTTTTGAGTGCCTGCTGCTTACTGCTAATCAAAGGCGATCATGAGGTCATGCCACAGATAAAAGATGGTATTGCAAATTAGAGGAACTAGCTAACAAGCTGGATGGAAATCAAGGAATGATCAGGTCTTCACGTGTCTCTAGATCTGGATGCTACCAAAGTAAACTTAATATTATGTTCTCTCTGGAAAGAATCCCAAACTTAACACGTTTTTGTACTGCTTTGTCAGGAATACCTATTCAAGAGACCACTGTAGTGTGTACCTCTAAATCTTATTTTTGCCGATACAGTTGGAATTTTTTTGTGTGTGTGTGACATCAGTGGACTTAAGGCGACAGCTGTAATTACTGAATGCATGGAAAATACATTAATTGGCACCATAGTCTACTGAAGTATGTGCATCATGCATTTATAGCTTCCTGTGTGGTAACTAGGATATTCTTGAAATGCTAATGCACTGAGTGCGTTCTGCTAGAGATGGAGTCTGCTTACCTAGGGAACTGAGGGGACTCAAGGAGTAAATACTGAAATTATACAGTTGTTAATTCTCAGTGAATTTGGCACAAAGCACATCAATATTTACATCTTCTAAGAAATATAATGAATTAGCT